ATGAGTTTAATTCCCAAATGTAACACTAATATAATAAAATCATGCTATTTCGACATAAATGATACGTAAGTGTATGAACTCTTGATTTTAATGTTGTTATAATGTACAAGATCTTGCCACTTTCAATTATATCAAAATTTATGTCAACCTTTATGTCACTGTAGCATGATCCAAATTAAATTATATCATTATTGAGAATATGGTAAGTTTACTTGTCAATTAAGTCGACCTAAGTCAATTAACAAGACCTAAGATATATACCTCTGCTTCTCGAGCATAGTCTCAAGTTGTTCGAGGACTCTTGCTGGAGCTTTACTTGCCGAAAAGCAAACTCCAGATCGACCTCTCTACCGATGAGCTCAATTTGAGCTCCGGACTATATCAAGACTCGTACCTTCTTATCATTTAGCTGATATATATATGATGGTCATATATATAAATAATTTGCTAACTCAACTATTCCAACTTTATTTTTCAGAATATTCCTATAGAAATATTTGAATATTTATATGATGGCTCAAACTCTATATTCACAAAATGTTTATTTTTGTACGATATTTAAAATTTAAATTCACAAAAGAATCATACGAATGAACTATAAGAATAAATGTTTCTTCTTATTGAGCTGTAAAAAAATTTGCAATCAGAAGCAAAACCGATAATCTGATGGAATTTTTTTTAATTTTATTTTTCTGGAATCATAAGATAAATTTGCAAACAACATGATCACTTATCACGAACAATTCCATTGAGAACCAAAAAAAGAGCAGCAGTATATAAAGTATGAAATACATACCCAGCTCCAGAATATATGAAGTACTTGGTGACTATAGTCATCACTGCCCATCAAACTATAGAAACTAGTGCTTTAATTTCGAAGTTTGTCTGAAAGAGAAATCCTGCTCGAGACAGCCAACAGGTTTTTGCTTAGTTTGCACGGCTCTTGATAACGTCGAGCCCCATTTCAGAAGGATCAGTCGCCTGTAATTCCACTTGAATCCCATCGAGCTCCCTTTTGAACCTATCCTTTGAGCTGGCATAAATCATCTTGCTTCTCACACGTGACGTGTCGGGAGACCTTACAATAATAAAACCAACAAAAGATAAGGAATTAAAGAACCAATTAACCGAAAGTCCAAAATCAACAAAATGACATGAATCAACAGTAATTATGCATAAATTTGTCGAATTTATACCAAGCAATGAAGAAAATCCTGCTTTTCTGGCAATTCTCGGAGGTCACAAAGTCAAAGTCATAAACAGCATATCGGCATTCATCGGCAGGAAGACAGGCGGTGAAGTCCTCATAATTTTGTGCTGGCTCGCCCACTTTTTCGACTATTACCTGCTTTTGCTTTTCCTCTATCTTGAAGACAATGAACCTGTAAGTCCTCTTTGACTTCAGTTCCAAGAACTTCAGCATGCAGTCATCGTGCACAGCCATCCCAGATGCCGCATTTGCCTTTATAGATAATAGTTTACAGGCATGAGTGTGACTCTATTATGACAAATCATGAAAAAGCAAACAAATTGAAGAAAATTGGAGATCTAATAATCAGGAACTCAACCAAGATTAACTGAACCAAAGGTAAATGAACAAGCCCAAGATAAAAATGAAAGACCATATCAAAAATTGAACAAAATGCCCCAAAAAAACAAATAAAAAAAAACTAAAACCATAATATATGAATCAATTGTTCCTCAGTAACAGCCGAAAGCCAAGTCTCATGGAGGTCAAGCAATCATGAATCACCCAATGACAAAATAAACAGATGAAATGTAGAAGATTATAGGCTATCACGTACACGAGTCTCATGTTGTTAACAAGCAAACTCGAGGAGATTGGTGATATAATAATCAGGAACTCAACCCAGGAGAAAATAATACAGATAACAAATAATAAAAAATATAGCCAGAAATAGCCTGATATCAATAAGATCAAACAGAGAGCCAGAAAATTGAACCAAAATTAAACGAACACGCCCAAAACGAAAAATGAAAAAACACTATATAATAAATTAAACAATTCATCCCCAAAAAGGAACTGAAGAACTAAAACAATAACAACATATCTCAATCGACTGTTCCTCACTAACAACCAAAATCCAAGACGAAGACAACTAAAAATCATGTAGATTTTTCTTTATGCAGTCAAACAATCACCCAGATTCAAAGTAAACAGATGGAAGCTAGAAGTTTAAATAGGCGATCACATACACGAATCTGACTGTTAACAAGCAAACTTGAGTAGAATGGTGATTTAATAATCAGGAACTCAACGCCAAAAATAGCCTGCTGACTCACTAGATCAAATAGAGACTAGAGATCCAGAATACTGAACTTAAATTAAATGATCACCCACAAAACGGAAAATGAAGAACATAAAAAAATTGAACAACTTATCCCAAAAAACAAGTAAAAACTGAAACCAAAGCAACACATTTCAGTCTCTGTTCCTCAATAACAGCCAAAATTTCCAGATTTTTCATAATGCATTCAAGCAATCACCCAAATACAAAAATAGATGAAAGCTGCGAGAGTTAACAGGCGATCGCATACACGAATCTCACGCAGTTAGCAAGCAAACTGGAGATAATTAATGACGCACCATCATCCTCGTGACTCAGTATACAGCGAGAAATGTAAGATCAGTTTAACATCATCAAATCCGAGTTAATAGGTCGGTTCTTACTCTCTCAATAACCTCAATTCATCTACAAACATGAATTTTCACCAAAACCTCACACGATCAATCAAAAATTGAGCCAGAGGAAGCTAAATTAAACTGAGTATAAAACAAAATCAGCTCATAATTACCCAAATAAGTCGCATTACAGTTACAGATATCCGATCAATTGCCGATCAACTGCTTAAACATGAAATAAACGAGAAAAATTTGACAAGGTCTTACCATGATTGACACCTCCGTGAAGAGATTCCGGCGATTATCGAAGGATTTTGAGAAAAAATGGAATTTGAGAGAGAAAGAGAGAGAGAGAGGATACAGGTTTATGAAGAAGGTTTCGGCTCTTTAATGGTAGACAATTACGAGACGCCGCGTAAGTTTTTCATTTGTTTTGGATATTTTTGTAGAGAAGGTGGGTCCAAGGTAAATTTATGGGAAAAATTCTACACTCTCGTTACTATTTCGTCGAAATTTGTTACCGAATAATTTATTTAATTAGTATAAATCTCGACAGAATAGTTTTATAAGGAGATGATAACATCTCCCTAGTACTGTTATTATTTTTTTTTCAGTTTTTACGATCAGTCAAAGCTGGTGGTCAAAATTGTTTCGTACAGTCAAGAGGTCAACCCTGTCAGTCTAGCATTGGGATTTCTAGCTAATCCATACACATTTTATTGGAGCAATTTACATATTTGTTAACATATAAAAAACAACCGGACAAAAAACAAGAAAAAAAAGGGGGAGTGGACAGAAATCAAAAACACGTATTCAGTGAATACGTTTTTGTTTTCCATTTAATTTTTCAAAAGCGTATTCCTTGAATACGGGCTTTTGATTTCTGTCCACACCTTTTTTCCTTTTTTTTTTTTGTCCACCTTTTTTCTTTCTTTTTTTTTCCGTAAAAAATTCCATTTTATTGTGCACATTGCATTAATTTATATGTAACATAAATAAATTCCACGCAATTTTTATTTTGCCCGTCATATTCTCTAAGTAAATATATACTAATAGATATCCTGTGCACATGCACAGATGTACATAAAATATTAGTAAGTAATATTTGAGAATTTAATATTAAAATTCTCAAAAATTTAATTATTAGGAAAAATAAATTAACGATTTTATTATTATAAAATTTTTTTTATATCATTAGATAATAACAGTTTGATTATTATTAGTATTATTAAAATAATTGTTTATAAGCTTCTAAAGTTGTCCGACTATGCTATTAAAACAATTTAATAACTGTTTTTAAAGAAATTCTTTAATATGATACAAAAGAAAACGAAAATATTGGTGTTAATATAAATAACTTGAAACAATTATTTATAATTATGTAATTTATATTTATTTTGAATTATTATTAGTTGGTATTAGCAATAACTATTATATAATATAATAGATACATGATTACACTTAATAGGATGTGTTAATGTGAGAAGTAAAAAATATTAATGATAAATTTTGTAACTGAAAATAGAGGAAAATTTTAGAGGTGTTATTAAATAGGTAAAATTAAATGCTAAGCAGAAATTATATATATATATATATATATATATATATATTATTAAAAATGATTATTTATAATATTCTAAAGTTGTTTAACTATGCTATTAAAACAATTTACTAATTGTTTTTAAAGAAATTTTTTATGAGATACAAAAGAAAAAGATAATATTGATGTTAAAATACATAACTTGAAACAATTGTTTATAATTATGTAATTTATTTATTGTAAATTATTAGTTGGTATTAACAATAATTATTATATAATATAATAAAAACATACATGATTACACTCATTAAGATGTATTATGTGAGAAGTAAAAAATATTAATGACTAATTTTGTAACCGAAAATGGAGGGAAAATTTTAAAGGTCTTATTAAATGTTTTATTAAATGCTACATGTCAGCAATTATATATATAGATTTATATTTATATTATTTTTTAAATTATAATATTTTCTTACTAAATTATATATATTTGTGACAAGGAGTATATGAATATGGATATATTAATTATGTTGACCCAACTGCTGTTGGTGATATCCACAATGTTTTGGATCACAAAAAATTATATGTCACCTACACTGAAAAATTTTACATTTTCAATGTCGGTTATTGAAAAAACAATAGTTTTTTTTTTTTCGAAACGAAAAGATTTATAGCTCAACGAAATAATTACAATCTTTCGAGTCTATCAAGCCATACAAATTCAATAATTGGAGTGTGTGAAAGTCCCTTTGTCACTTTTTGCTGCGTCCACTCGACGCTACTACCTAATGATGACACTTAAAATTGTTCGATCAAATGACGCTTTCAAATTTGTTTGGTTGGCACTTGGCAAATTAATAGCCTAATATTTATACCTCAAATTCTAAATATTAATTGCAATTGACACCGGACCAAATCAACAAGATAATGTTGTCTTAATTCCGTAAATATATCCAAAAGAACATAAATAAATCTTCGAACTTAACAAAAAGTTGTTATTGCTAAAACAATAATTAATTAAAATCTAAGAAAATTAAAGTAAATATTGAGACTTTTTAGTAATTTCCTTAGGTTAGGTCCTGTCAAATTTGGATCAAATCACAACGATCCATGGCCAACTTTATAAATGGGCTCTACATAGAGTAGCCCAATGGGCCTCACAACTCTTATTATACATTGTAGTTTATAAATATGACCTTGTTTGTTTAAAGCATGAGATAAGTCTTGAAATTCGGTGCAAAATCACCAGCAAATATTCAAATCGACAAAAAATGGAGTTTGAAAAAGTGAAGCTAAAAAGAAAAGTTGATTGCAAACAATTGTTCGGTGTGCTTTTTCAATGTATGCCTCAAAAAAGACTTGATATTTTTTTTTTTGGGTGTTAAATTTCAAATAATTGGCCGTATGAACCGGAAAAATAATTAAATTGGATGATTAGGTCAACTAATCGAAAAACTTATTCAAATTTACCTACACTAACTATCACATTAATATTTTTCCTCCAATCATTCTCATACTCAAAATAATATTCTCGAAATATATATATATATTTTTAAAATCAACTTTTACAATTTTGCAATGGTATCCATATATTTAATAAATGTATAAATAAAACTCATTATTAATGTATATGGATATTGTTCGCTACTCACGGTGGGCACATGTTAATATGCCCACCACTTATGCGGCATGCACACATTGCTGATGTTAATATATTTAAAAAATACATCACTAATGTGTACATGCTATATAAGCTGTGAGCATATTACATGTACCCACCGTGAGTATGTGGGCATTATTTTACTTTATATTACATTACAAAAACTATAATAAATAAATTACATATTTATAATTAATAGTCTTATTCATACTTATAAATTTAGTAGATCACTTTAAATGAATAACATATATT